TCCCTACATTTGTCCCTCAACAAAAAAAAATTGTGCTTTTTCAAATAGCAATAACTAAAGTCTAAAGGTCGTCCTCATGCAAACGCATTTTACCAAAGAGATCGTTAGTACATACTTGCAAAAATATTAAAATAAGAGACATAAAAGGATATTTAAATAGTATTTTAATCTTTTTCAAGCATTTTTTTTTTTTTTTTTTTTTTTTTTTTATTTTAAAACTAATAAAAATAAAAGTACTAATAAAAATTTCAGTAACTTACCTCTTCCGCACGTGATCTCTGCGACATTACGAAAAGGAAAGGTAAAAAAGATGAAAGACGGTTATCGTTAAATATCATACCTATTCTGGACTAATTCCTGCCGTTTTTCTATTCTCTCTTTTTCTTCGGCGTTATTGTCGCCGGTGAAACCCGTTGCTGCAACCTTTGGCACGTCGCCATCATATATATATTTCGTATATATACGCTCTTTTCTTCTCTTCTCTTCTTTTTTTTAGACTAAAATATGTCTTTTACAAATTTGTTTTGCTCGTATTTATGTAAATGCGAACGCAATACTATGCAATAACGCTTTTTATTACAAGCCATTGTAAGCTCGTTCTGCTTTTAATCACAAATCAAGACATAAATTAATTTTTTTATCCGTTCTTAAACTTCTTATGTTGATGCAAAGTTATCCCAACTGGTACAGAATTACTAATAAACTGGAAGTAAAATAGATTTTAAAATATATTGAGATATATTCATATAAATGTGTTTTGCAATTCTTCATTCTCGCATTCTCGATTACTTCATGATTACTTCGCTTTGACGAATAAAAGAATAATATGGGCCGCTATAAATATACATACATACATATATATATAACGGACGATATCACGCACACGTACGATCGATAAAGATTATATCAGGTTCGCACGCATTCGTGACTGTACGTCCGCGTTGTTTATCCTCATAGAAATCGGTAGATAATTCGCGACTAAGTTACGGCTTGGCACTAATGCGTGACAGGTACCTATACAAACCTAGCACAAGCTCATGCCATATTAAAAATCAATATCGCGATTTGATGGATCGGTACCATCGTTTGTACCACCAATATCTTGAAGAGGGTTGGAAGTACACTCACGCCCAAAAACTTTTCCGATTTTTTGAGTTTCAATCTTTTATAACCATTTCAAAATTATGATCTTAAATTTTGTATTTAATAGATAAAAGAGAAGTTTTTTGGATATATCTTGAAATAATCTCTATTAAATTTGAGTGAAAGAGAAGATAAATTCCAAAAATAGTGCAAACTCTCATACAGTATACATGGAAATGTAAAATAAAAATTTAAAACAATTATATGCCCTTATTTATACACTCTGAATATATATATGCTTCATTCATGAAACTTTTGTGCCTTTAAATTACTCTACTAATTACCTAATGTGCAGCTGATCGATATTATTTACGACTTAATTTTTATTCATCTTCATTAATAATTATAAAATAACTTTCTTAAATCCGATGTTATTAATATGTACATATCAATGATTTTTAACATGATTAAACATTCTGCTCGACTCGTAAGACTAAAATTACACAAAATAGGCATGACGCGACCGGACCGAATGTCGTGCTAGAGAAAAAGTAAGCCATGGATTTATTAACGTCGGTCTGCGGCGACCATAATTAATCCATGTCGCGACAAACTTCGAAAGCATCGCAATAGTTTCAAAACTCCGCGATTTGAAGCTCGCGTGACGCAAACCCACACGATAGCAAACCACACGTTTCTGTGTAACACGCGAGAACACGCAGTGCGACGACAAGTTGCATTATCGATTTATAGCGATGTAAAGCATAATATTTGAATATGGTACGCTGATGGTACGCGCGTATGCGGAATAAATATTATTTCTAATAATCCGTATGATATATTACTTGTTATGATTATTGTATTGATGTTAGCTGTATAATATTAATACCGGATGACCTATCATGCATCAAATTTTAACGACGGATTTCGTGATCGAATTGCAACCGGTTTTCCATAAACAAACATAGCTTTCGAATTATAGATAGAAATTATAGACAATCATAGATAACAAATAGCTTTTGGCAAAATTTCAGAAATGCAAATAACAAAATCCTTTAATTTTAATTTTATTTTGACGGTCTTATAATTCGAAAATAATTATTGGCAAGATGTAATATTGAAAAACAAAGAAACTCGACTTAAAATTTGCAAAGTATTGCTGATCATTCAAGCGTGCAATGATACTCCAAAGATTTATAGATCTAAAGAACTCACTCTCCAGAAATCAATTTCATAAAATCTAAAAGTGCAGAAATCCAAAGATTCACTCAAAGGACGACTCAAAGCATTAAAGAATTCAACATCGAAAAATCTAAAGAATCTAGGAGTCGAGGACTCAAGGCAACCGTGATTGAAAGTCCCTTCGGTCCTTAAGCCCTCGCGTGTCTCCTCGTTACCGTGTAAGAGTAATCGAGTATAACGATCATGTATCACTAACGTGCATCGGGGCGCTCGTCGGCGGCTCCAGAGCTTTGTCTGCAGATAGTCAAAGATAGGAACGTACGGGGACCTGAGGATGTAACGCCGGATGCACCAGCGTCGCATGTTGCAGTGTGCCCGGTAATTCGCCGGCTGTAGAATACGCCAATGGATGATGCCACAACTCAGGACCACCGGGGAAGAACGGACTCCCTAGGTCTGCAATAGAGCACAGGATTAGATAGAGTCCCCTGAGTAATTAAACGCGTGGTCGCGGATTGCATTCTATAACTCGCCAGGATATCTACTGATACTAAAATTGAATCGGGGATTTTTACTCTTCGACACACTGGAAATATTACAAATATATTTCGATCCAATACATTGATATTCTTGTAATGTAAAATTAATAAATATTAGCGTAATATTAATTTAAAAAATTATAAATTTATTATTAAACTATAATTAAACTATTTCAAACTTGAATGAACATAATTTGTTGACTACATTTATGTAACTTTTAACAGAATTGATGAAATTACTATCACTGAAGAATTGTAAAAGTGAAAAATAAGACTTAAAATTTTATTAGAAACATTACTGAATATACTGGAAATATATTTAAAATTGAAAATTTTTCTCAGTAGATATCTTTTATATAAAACTTTGTTAAAAATTATTCGTGTATGTGATATCACATATCAAATGTTATTACATTCCTTTTTACGGAGAAAGCTATCTTTTTTTTTTTACTTTTCTATTTTTCTTATTGTTTTGAGAAGCACTTATTGTTAGATATTTCCATAAAAGCCACTTATTCGTCTTTCCTCTAATAAATAAAACAAATAATATTTATTATTAACAGGTTACGGATTCATGTTATCTACGGATACATAATAAATAATGTAAATATCGCATGAAATGTGTCAGATTCGAATGAAATACCGATCTTTCGACCAAAAAGATTGTGTTGATTTGTCGCTCGGATTATTCCAGCATTATCGTAATTGTCGCGATATTTTCAACGTACATTCATTACAATGCAAAACGGAAATATACAGTATTATTTTGCTCTATTTGCAATTGAGATTAAATATGTCTCCGACATAAAAAAAAAAAAAAAACGAAGCACGATGTAATTCGCGTGGCAAATGTTTGCGCGTGCTAAAGAAAGAACGCGAACAAATTCCATCAACGTTTTGCGAACCCAGCGATTATAAGATCGATAATGTCCAATTTACGAGCTTTCTTGCTAGAAGCTAGAGAGATGCACGAAGACGGAAGCATTGATTACTGTACTCGGGGATTTTCGAGAATTGAACGAACGGAGATTAAAAAGATCGCGCTATGAAAGCTCAGACGCATTAAGGATTATCGTGATTTATATGAGATGTGCAGTTCTCAATCGTAATGAAATAATGGTTATAAAAGTCCATATAAGTTGTTGTACGTTGTATAACATAGCTCTCTCTCTCTCTCTCTCTTATATTTAAATAAAATTTAAAAAATATCACAATATCTTATATGTTAAACTGAAATTGAGCAAAAATAACATTATTTTTTAAATTTATTAATTTTTATGTAAAATGTATTTTCTAACCAATGTATTTGTTTTTTGTAATATAAATAAATTAGTACGAGATTTGAATTACAGAAGATTTCAAAGTTTTATTTTGCTCTCTAACTAAGATATATACTTCTTCTTATAATTTAAATTTATTCCATTTTTAGCGCTCCAATTTGATTTATTTATTCATCATTTACAAAAACAAGTAATAAATATATTTATTTATAAAAGTAACAGATTTAATTATTATTTAAACAAAATTTAGAAGCATTGTGAATATTGCCGCTCAAGCGAATATCACGACGCAACGTAGATTATTTGCTGCAATGCCGGTATAATGACACGGTATAATGCACTACCGAGCGTAATCGTCGACGGCACAACACAAAAAAAAATGGTCTTCTCGGAAGCCGGTAAATCGCTGGAGAGGTACTTATGATTAGGCGTTATGAACCGGTGACAATGGTAAACCAAGCGTCTTCCGAGCTACTCGTCGGCGAACCTTCGTTTGCGACCTCGCGGTAATCTCGTTACGCAATACATAACGTTTACATCGTCTGTTATCCTCGAAAGTTTCAGCGAGTATAATTCTAATTTTCGAACGATTCTTATTATCAGCTTAATGGCGTGACTTAAGTGCACGATTTTCCAGCGTAAAGAAATTTAAAGAAAATTTTAAAGAAATTTTAAAGAATTTTAAAGAAATTTAAAATACAGAAATGCGTTAGCATGTCCTTGAATAATATTTTTGCTCGCCCGTTTCTTTTTTTATCGTCATTCGCAATTGCGTTTTTCGGAGTTGCGAGAAACGGCGGAAAATTCGATGCACATCGATACGACCGTACGTAAAACTGCATCCTTCCCGCCGCGCAACTCGCACAAAAACGCGCAATTATTATTCCAATATAAATTAATAATATCATAGTAGCGATTGTGCAACAAAACGCTCTTTCATGTAGCCTTGTACCGCGATCGAGCATCGCAGAAATCTGGCGTGACTCGCTTGCACATGCTACCGCAATTAACTACGCAATGTCTGTTTTCGATCTCTGTTCTTGATCAAATCTGAATGAGACAAATTAGTATAATGATATAAAGAAAACTTTGTTTGCAATCATACTGAGATTTATTGATGCAATATTGTTTTTCAATTATTTGTAGGCGTAAACTTAATTCCGTAATCGAGTTAAATCAACGTTATGTTTAAAACTATTTCTTGATGCTTTCTCTTACTTATAAATTATAATTATGCGTTTAAATTATAATTATGTAATAAATTAAATTATAAATTAGAATAAATTGTGTGTATGTATGTTATTAGTTTGATTATAATAGAATGAATTCTGACTAATTGAATAATCGATTAATCGGAATTAGAAACGCTGTTTATTTAGAGAAAAGTCTTAAGGAACAAATAGAAATTGAAAAAATTACCAAAATTTTCGTATTGCGATAGTTATTTAATTAAAGCACATATTGTTTTTGTTCTGACATGTTCCAATTAACCAAAATCATTCCCATTATATTTCTTTGTTATAAATTAAATTTTAAATTGTTAAAAGAGTTGACTAAGACCCTCTCTCTCTCTCTATTTCGAATATGGAAATTAATTATATCCGCAAGGAAAATCGCATTGTTCTCATTTACACGGACCAATTAGATATTCCAAAGAACAATTTAATTTTCTGAAAGTTATTCAACTATTATCACGGAATCACCTGAAATTTGGACCTTTCTCTCTCTTTCTCTCGCTTACTCATTCTTTTGTAAGCGAGAAAAGGCGCTTTAATTTCTTTCAAAATACGATTTCTAACCGATAGAAGCTGATGCACGAGCCCTTACGTGTGTGCATCTGCTACATCAGTGGTGTGTTTTAGTCCCTGCCAGGACTGTGCACTTTATTGATTCTAGGCTGACCTCCGATTCGCATGGCGAAGCATACGGGTTGGAGTAAACGCGCACTGTCTGGATAGGGCCAAAGCTTTCAACGTTATCGTCCAACAATTTTTTTTTTGTTTTTCTTTTTTTTCCTTTATTTCGCAAACTACGAGTGAATCCAATAAATTGGGAGATAACGCGCTTTTCAATTTATTCAACTCCTATCAAGAGACAAATGAACTTTTTACAAATAAATATATTCATAAAAAGTTACATTCCATTCTCTGCATTGAATTTAAAGGATTTAGCACATTTATATGCTATAAATACACATAGCAATTCTCATTATATGAGCAACTAGTCTTGTTGCCTTCCCCCCATCGAAGCGATTCAATTCTCGTATATTCGTTAATAAAAGTCTATAGCGGAACATTTTATTTAACACGTCTCACGCATTCATAGTGTCCTCGAATTGTCACATAATGAAAATGCATTAGCATAATAATGCGTTTTTTCTCTGCGACGCTACTGACTAATTAGAACTCTAAACTTAGCTATATATTTTAAATACCTTTCTGTTTTCTGTAGAGTGCATATTTCTTGCTACATTTCTTGCTTACTTATCTTTCAATTTTTAATTTTTATGCAAGTCACACTTACATGTTTTTCTACCCACAATTAATTATTACAAGCTTTTAAATTTTTTATTCTTTTTATCGTGTATTCTTAAACTTTTCCTTAATAATTGATATCTCTAACAAAGAAAATAATAATTGAGAAAAAGAATTTAAATAATGTAATGTTGTACCAACAACAAAAAATTTGTTTGTATATAGTAATGATTATTATAAAAATAATGAGAAAAAGAAAGATAAAATATCAATTATCTAATTATAATATATAAATATGTTATTCTCATACTTGATTAACTTGTCCCTATTTACATGACGCTGTACGTATTATATATACCTTTCAATATTTATTGTTCAATGACGTCAATTGTTTGTCAGTTCTTACTTATATAACGCGGTTTAGTTGCTACATTTTACTGCATTATTCAAATTAGTAAAGCAATATCGAACAAATAATCTAACAAACCCATATTGAAATATGTAAACGACTTATCAGAACACGATAAAAAAATATTCCAGTATTTGTGTTATCAACTTTTTATTTCAACAACGCGATATAAACCAACATCTTGAAAAATAAATGACTTTAATAATTTAAATCACAACGCAATTCATTTTTTCTTTATCATAATTTTCATATCTTGACCGATATAACAGAGCGATATATTAAAAAAAGCAACTAATATATAATAAATATATACAATTGTAAATTTCTAACACGAGCGAATGCAATTGCCATGCCGCCGTTTATTGTCGCTGACCACGCAAAACTTAAACTTACGTTTAAATGTGATTATTTTCGAGCACACACATGATACGTGAATAAGAAATGGAGACGCGTATACGATGGAAAAAAAATTTATACGAAAGAGCAGTTTCTAAAAGAGGATGAGCGCAATTTTTGTATCGATCCCGGCTGTCATTTGACACACGCAACCCCGACTACGCGAACGATACACATGGTCTTTCGCACGAATCATATTATGATACCTACTTGGCATCACGTCGAAATCAATATAACGCACCACATGTAGATACACACGTTATAACGCTAAATACAAATAGCGATCACTCGCATGGACGAGTCGCGCGAAAACATCGTACGAAAAGCTAACCGAGCATGGCTTTTTCCAACGAGAAAATGCAAGCTGCATTCCTCCGCGCGTAGATAATGCATAATACGTCTGAGCACGCACGGCCGGTGGAAAACTCGGTTAAATGGACCATGAATTTCGAAGCGTAAAATCACCATGCGCAGCTTTTCACCGCGGAAATCTTGAGTCTTAATAAAACATGATCATTTATATTTTATATCAAAAATTATGCAAAAAATAATAATTTTCCCAAAAAGAAATATATAGTTTTCCCAGATTTAATAAGATCATCATTTATATGTATTTTGAGGATGCTTTACATACAATAATTCGTCCGTACTAAAATCGTTAATTGCATCTTGTGTAGAAAAGTACGAAAGCCATCCGTGCGGTTAGCATATATTCAACAACACGCCAGACATTAACGACCACCGGAGATCGCGTAGATACAATTTGACCTGATTATTCCTTGGGACTATTCTCCTCCATACTTTACCGGCGGACAGTATAGGTGACCATCATATATTTTATTGAGCTCATGCGCACATCGCGAAACTTGCGATATGCAACGAGACAGCATTTCGATCTCGATTCAAAAATGCAGATTTTTTTAACTTTTCTGAGATCAATTTTTCTTCAAAAGTGTCAAGAATAGTTGTTATTGATTATTATAAAAGCTTTTTTCAAATTAAAACTTTATAAAAATAAAATAAGTAATTAAAAAATATTTAAAACTATAATTAGAAAAGAGAGAAAGAAAAAATATATATTACACATGCACTAAATACATATATAATTTTAGAAGTAAAATATTTTTGATGTTATTTGCTATAAAACTGCATTTGATGTTTGATCACAATGAAAATAATTATGCAAACAGTTGAAAATTATCGCAAAAAACTGACACACAGTCTGTGCATTTTTTGCTCCCGTCATTTTCGCATGATCAAAGTGTAAAAATTACCAATGTATGAGTCACATTTTATTATCGATGCGAAAATTCCGCGCAAGTAAATGAAATGAAAACTGTTACGAAATCTGTGCCAATCTTGCACAGCTGGTAAAAACAATAATATTCACATTTTGAGAAACAAAGCAGTTGCAACAATAGTAATAAAGTCCATTACTTTCACTGCAGTACTTTTTTTTTAAAGAAAGTCGGAGATTTTTTATATCATGCCAAAATAATTAAACGCAAAGACTAATATACACGCGACAAGATTAAATTTTTACTACTAACTTATAGCATTATTTCCACGAAGTAGGTCATTCTTCGTGTTTAAGATTACTCAGCACGCTACTATGTAAATTTATCCCAAGATACTGCTTACATTTAAATTCGATTTGAAAGCAACGAATTACTTCGGATAAACTCAAAGCCGAGGCCTTGTTTTCCGAAACACAGAGAGAAAAGGGAACGAGCAAAGTTCTGACGAATATAACTCCGGGAATTTCGGAAAGCGTTGGCAACAACAAATTCCGAAATCTATCAACCTCGAAAGTATTTATATATAACTTCACTCTCAACCACATGCATATTATATCTGTAGACAGCAAATCAATACTCTCTCATTTTTTAATTCATTTTTTTTTAAATTATATTTCTTACCGAGTCTTTATTTTAAAAAAGTCGTATTCATATTCGACAAATATCTTTTAAATTATTAAATTAAATACTATTTAATTAAAATTATCTATCAATAATATATCATAAATAATTTTGCAAGAAAACGAATTGCCATTTGACTGATTGAAAATTATGGAACGTATAATAAACTTCCATGAATTATACCTAAAATTTTATTTCTTATTTCTTCGATATCTCCGCGAAAGTAAATTTTATCGAAGATACGTTTGGCAGTTCGATTATGTCTTATTGACGTGGCTTGGCGTGCGGGACGGCAAAATTGGGTCATCGTACGAAATTGCTACCACCTATACCAAAATTATTCCGCGAAATTTCCCGATGCTAGATACGGTCTATTTGCGCGATATTAAGAACGCTATTAGCAGCTGGTTCCAGCCGAGACTGATAGCACCGGTGGTACCGCTAATTTTTAATCGATTGAATAATCATTCTACGAAATCTTACTGCCTAAAATCTGAAACACAGGCTAATATATGTACTTAGGTTATCTTAATCTACGATAAATATTATTTTTTTAAAATCTCTAACCACTGCATGTAGTAGATATTTGTAAAATCTATCATTTTTGGATTTTATTATATGGACCATTATAACCATTCGATATATCACTCTCGATAATAAATGTTCGGCGAATGATGCATTCAGATATTATGGAAATAAAGACGATCTTTTATATACAATACCGAAATCAGACAGCGCGCATGCGACAGCAAGATTCATCGCAGTCGCAGTTTTCTTCTTCGAAAACTGATGCGCTTTACGTCCATCCGGCAAGTCTGTTTCCGCAATGTGACACAAATACATATTTATTGCGCGCGTAAAAACACGCACACGCACGCAGCCTCTAAATGTGCAGATCTCCGAGATTTATTCAACTTTATTCGTACTTTATTCTTTTCATGCTATTCTCTCCGCGATCGATAAAATACGGTATATATGTATATCGCCCGGTTCACCCGCCGCGGTCACGTCTTTCTTTTGTCTTTGTTTAAAACATACTGTGGATTTTTCACTTTCCTCAGTATTGTATAGTTGCATACCGCGTAGTCCGCATATTGTTATTATACTTGCCATTAAACAAACTTCAACCGCGAGCTCGCTTGGAATAATACTGCATAAGTGTATTATGCACGAATAATAATGGAAAGACATATTTGACTTGATATATTTTTCGCCAAATGGATTAACATGTAAAATATTTGCATACGTAAAATAATACCTCATAATGCAAAGATTTAATCCCGATTCACAGGTTTGATGAGTAGATATGTGTTTCATCTATTATTATTGTAACTTTTATTGATACACGTATTTTCCACCCATCTGCACCGCGCAATGCATATGGGCGGGAATGATTAAGAGTATAGTTCTTAATGTCAATGATATGCACACAGGAATGTGCAATTCGCATGATTTATACCCAGGATAGCTCGAGAGAATGCATGACCAATAACGATAGAAGTACGCAGGTGCACATATATCTTTTGAACATTAGTAAATGCTGATTCTACAAAAGGACCAATTAACCTTAGATATTTAAACACTGCTTGTTACTAATTGGGTTAAATAATTTTGAAAAGAAATCAAATTTGACCCAATTATCCGAGATTTTTAATATTTAAATGAGAATAAAATATCTGAAGCTATTAAAAATAAATGTATATTAAATATAAATTTGTAATATATATTGTATATAATAATTACGTTTTCCCAAAATACGTATATTATAAATGTAGTGAACAATAAAACATTAAATATATAATTTTTATAATTTAGTAATTTTAGAATTCTGATAAATTGCAAAATAGACAGAAATCAAGAATTTTTATTCAACAACATAAAATCTAAATAATTATAAATAAAAATGGATATATAGATAAGTAAATAAACTAACATTACAATTACAATTACAAGAGAACAAAAAATCTAATGTTATCTGAGAAAATAACAGCGTGTTAACTTTAGGCAAATTGCGGGTTCACGATGGAATATTCACTACAGAAATCGAGGTTCGTCAATATACGCAGATGTTAACGCAGATATTATTATCGCTGCAGTTAATGAGCGCGATAATTTGCGCTATATAAAAGCCATTGTCTAACCGCGGCGTGCGGCGTGTATACCGCTCTGTACATGTATGGTGTATACATCTTACATGTTGTAAAGCCGATGTTAAATGCAGAGGTTTGCCACGAGAAACCCCTCCGTACTTCGATCGATTGTCGTACAATTCTCGACGACGAGATCTCAGATCCCGCAGTCGCGGGTCGGGGAGAGGGGCGTGGGAGGGTACTTATGTAAAAAAAAATTCTTTTGAAAAAAAGAGCCGAGTGACAACAGGAAGTGGGACACTTTGTAGTCGGTGCAGTGGGTGAGAAATAGTAAGTGAGACGTATCCAGCGAGTGAACGAGTGGCGGTGCATACTTACGTCCCGTTAAAGGGTGCATCAGAGCGGGGTGCGAGGTGGCTGCTGCAGCGGCTGGTTGCTTGGGTTTGCTAACCTTTGTGTTACTTTTTGCAAATTCCAAACGTATGGTTTGTGGCATATCAGGATCGAATCTAACCCCCTGCTGCAAATAGATTCCCTAAATTAGTAAATCGGGAGCACACACGTGGATGGATGGTGATAGTGTAGTAAGGCAAAGAGATAAGACAGAGAAAGAAACAATAAAAGAAGAGAGCAAAGATAGTGAAGGCCCTTTTTTCGTCACTAGCCGTATTTGAATAATTTTTTATATAAAATAAGATTATGCTTACGGTACATTTTGCATGTTTCTTTCCAAGAACACTTTATTGTTTTCTTCTACGATAATTTAAAAGCGTCTTTTAATTAAAAAACAAAATGTGTATTCTATAAATTCTTTTTTAAAAGCGGTTTGTTATATACACAAATAAAAATTAACATATTTATGCCACAACAAAATTCTTTCCCACTTAATGTATTATAATTAATGTATTACAAATTTATATTCTATATACTACATATTACAGAGAGAAACTTTATCTCACAAGAGTAATAATTTTCGCCCAAACTTCTACAGCTCTACGATAATTTAATGCATAATAAAATTGACAGAAATATTGTTAGATCACGCTATTCCACTCTAATGACGCTATTTATATCTTCTCTGCAGTAATTTATCTTCTTTCGATATATTTCAGTGACATCATCCATTTTGTAGCATAAATTTTACGCGAAAGTGAGCTAGATTGACGTTTAAATATAGAAATACATACGAACCGATATTTCATAAATCGCGCCTCAGTGGATATTCAATCAAAATAGTTCGCTTTTTTCTGTCTAGTCTTTTAAGACTAACAATGGTAATGTAAAACTGCGGATAAATTTATGTGCTATTATTTTTCCAATATATAATTTTTGTAAAATAATATAAAAAATTACACTACTTTCTTACTTATTCGATTATTTGCTAAATCTCTGAGCGAATAGATATAAAAATATTTTAATAACAGTAATATAAATTATTAATGTTTTACAATCTGCAAAAGCGCGAAGAAATTTATTCGTTACAGATTGTGTTACATAGTCTGTAAAACTTATTAATTTTGTTATGATATCTAATATCTTGCCCCGTTCTATTTAATAATTAATCTTATACCACACGAAAATAGAAAAATTTAAATATATATAAAAATATTTTATTCTTCAAAGAGATTTAAAAACTTCTACAATATAAATATAAACTTCTTGTGCATAGAAGAATTTATAAAGAACAAAATTAGAAAGTTCCACAACAAGCTATATTGAACGTGATGTTCAGACCCACAACATACGTTCCATGTCTGCGAAATCAAATCGAAAAGGTTGATCGAATCATTGATGACTAGTGACGAAAGTGACATGGGTATAATAATAGTATGGGATTATATGCTGGATGGAAGGGAAATTAGCATAAGGGCGTGTACATGTGTATGTGTATATTTCTCTCCTTGTACGTGTATTCATAAGGTGGGTCGCACGTTAGTTCGTACTACGGTGTTTCCAGCGAACGTGTCCATCCGACAAAAGGATGTTTTTCTACGCAATACGTACATTTGTACGTATAGCGATATACCGTTGCCATACTCGGGTTACGTAACATTGCAAATTGCGTGAGGTCAGTTGCAACGGTATGATAGAGCTACATGAGATGACCAACTTAACGGTTATACCAAAAAATTCGATCCGAGAGACACGATGAAAGTTACTTCGCGCTTGATATACAATACATTCCAAAATATATTGCATAACAAGCTGTATGAGAACGATATTAGCTAAAGAAACTAACTATTTATGTTATTACTCCATAAGAACATTTTTAATCCGAAAGTGATCACCTCATAAATATATGTATTTACAGATACATATATATACACAAATGTATTTACAGATACATATATATAAATATATTCATATTTTAATTATATCGATATAAAAAATTTTAAAAAGTATTGAACATAAAAAATACTTTAAAACTTAAAAAGAAGAACTTAAGAAATCTTCTGTTAAATCTTGGAATGTTCTCAAATTCTAAAAAATGAAATGTGCAAAAATACACACACGTCAAGATTTCGATTTTAAAAAATCTAAAATTTTGAAAACTTAAAAATTCTTTGAATATATTTTTAAATTAATATAATTGCTCTTCTAAAATTTTTAAAGAAGTGTTTTATTAGTAATATCAAGTATATAGTTCTTTTATTATCACACTCCATTACAATCTACACGAATAATTATTCTTGACCATAAGCTAACTGTGTGTGTATATTCAAATATACTGATGTATATATTCAAATATATGTATATGCAACTAGTCGATATGCTTGTTTCAGAAGGCAAACAACATAATATGTATATATATGTACACATATATAGATATACATATATATATATATGTATACATACATATATATATATATATGTATATATCGATAATGCCACACGGTGCAGCGTTATTACAATACGCCTTGGTACGCATACAGGTAGACAAAAGGTAGTACATACTATATTTGGAACCCAATGAGAAAAAAATTAGAAAGATAGGGAAAAAAGCTACGATAGATGTAGAAGAAGAGATAAACAGTAATCAGATAAAGAGAGTGTAGTAACTAATAAACATAAGAGCTAGAAATAGCAATAACCCGTGCCAGCTGGAGAATCTAAGACAGGGCGGATCCGTAAAAAAAAAAAAAAAAGAAATGCCGGGCATATCTGTAAGTACGTAAGTGAGTGTCACTGTGTATGTATGCTATATCAATCGCGCGTCAACCCTGAGACTCCTGTACGAGAGTCTACCACCTTTTCCCCACCTGCTTCACCTCGCGGATGCCTGCGAGAAAAGGGCTATTACCTGCAGATCCTGCTTCGCCGCCTCCGCGCCTGCCCTCGTGTGAAAAGTCACGAATCCCACCGGCTGAAACGAGAAAAAAGAACATAACAAGAAGCACTTTATTCGTCGCATCCACGGATAGCATCCCTTTCTTTCTCTCTCTCTCTTTCTCTCTTTTTCCCTTTCTCTCTCGGCGAGCGTTCATTATGCGAGCGCTTAATGTTAGTTCGTCGACGAACGAGCTTAAAATCGCCGACGCGTTTCTCGACCCGTTCATATTATTGTTCCCATTTGGGAACGTTTATCGCATTATTCATAATAAATGCTATATAAGATAAACAAATGCTATGCGACAGAATAATTCGCGACTACTGCGTGAAGACAAATTTCTCGTTTAATTCTGAAGCAAAAGTCTTTATGAAAGGATATTAATAAAGATCATTTTTATACTGCAACTTTTAGACTTATAATATTTAACTTTCAAAATTAAATAACTTAATAACTAAGACTATAGTTAAGATTCTGTTAAAATCCGTCTAAAGTTAGATGAAGAAGTTTTGTTGCTTGTTTGTACCTCTAAAACTTAATCTGCAAAAATATCTTTATTTTATATCTTTAAATTTTTGCTTCTGTTGTAAATAAGACAAGTAGAGTTGTGCAAATTAGAAACTTGCACATTGCTTCCTCATCATTTTATCTTACAATGCTTAAGCTGCTTTAAGCACGCGGATTTTTCAATTTTTGCTTCCTCATAGAGGAAGCTTTGTGAGCGAAATAAAAATTAAAATGATTTCTTTCACCGATCCTCATTAAATTCAATATCAAACATCCTTTAATAATACTCTATTCATGTAAAAAAAATTTAATCCGATATCTCAAATTTTCTGAAAGTTACAGCGTGTACAGACATTTCTCAAAAAATTCAAAATTTTATAAAAAATGAACCCTTTCACCGATACTCACCAAATTCAGTACCCAACCATCCTTTAATAATACTCTATTCATGTAAAAAAAATTTAATCCGATATCTCAAATTTTCTGAAAGTTACAGCGTGTACAGACATTTCTCAAAAAATTCAAAATTTTATTTAACTTCCAAAATTAAATAACTTAATAACTAAGACTATAGTTAAGATTCTGTTAAAATCCGTCTAAAGTTAGATGAAGAAGTTTTGTTGCTTGTTTGTACCTCTAAAACTTAATCTGCAAAAATATCTTTATTTTATATCTTTAAATTTTTGCTTCTATGGTAAATAAGATATCTATTAATATGTTAATTGCAAATTACACTTCCATATAATTAATAATATAAAATGTGAAATAATATGAATGTGTTAAACGCTGATTCTCTATTTTTTATCAATCTTTCTAGAACATAATTTAATTTTTTTTTTTTAATAGAACATGTGTTTAATTTGCTCTTTGCAATTTTTTGTATAAAAAAAAATTTACCAGTAATAAAATAAATTACAATACTAAGAAATATGGTTTTACTTGTCTATGGCAATTTGCAGTGTTATATTTATATATGATTTCATGTTATAATTTTATATGGTAGATGTAAAAATACCTCGCTACATAATGTCGCAATCAAAAAAAATATTTTGGCAGCTGATCAAGGAAGATCATAAAAATCAGGATCATGAGAAATCTTGGTGAGCCTTTATCGCGCTCTCTCTCTCTCTCTCTTTCTCTCTCTCATACGCGCATTTGTACATTGCGCCTTCTCTAATATAAGCATTCGTCCTTTTATCTGCGTGCGCGCATCCGCTAATTTATTCAGTAGAAGGCATCGATTCCTACTGCGTTTTATAATGCATCGCGTGATTACAACGGCTGCAATCGAAGGTGTCGATTCTACGATGCGAGAGACAGAAATGCTCGATCGTTAACGCGAGGATTCGTTACTCGCTGTCGTTTATTTCCGCGCCGCGTCCCTCGAATATTCATACATCAGAAAGAATAAAATTGGATGTCACCTCGATCGAGTACGCTCGATCTCGAAACATTTCAAACAAATACATATTGCACAATATATACGTAATGTTTAGCTATCTAGATATAAATTTTTAAGATAATTTTTTATTGTATTTTTTTTATAAAATGTCGATCTAATATAACATCAACTAATATAATTGTTATAATCATTTTAATACTTTAATATTAGAATAAAATATATTACTAAATACAATAAAAA